AATAAATGTGTGAAATAGATAAAAAGGAAACTAATGCCTTAACAGATATAAATGTCAGTGTCAGAGCTGGGACCATAACTCTAAGGTGCTCATGTGCATGTGTGTACGTGCGTAAAATTCTAAGTGCTAGGCTGGTCTCTTCCCACTCCTCACCCATGTCTGAGCCTTCCCTGTGTCTGCGTCTGGAACTGTTGGCAGTGTGACTGACCAGAGTATTACTGCCTAACGGTGGGACACAATCTCAATCTCAGATCTCCCCTTTCCCTAAAATGAATTGCAAAAAGAACCAGAAACCCCTAACCGCGTATCAGAGTCATCTTTTGAGGTTTTGTTTTTGTAATACATTTTTATTGGTTTTTTTCTGAAGAGGGGGAGGAAGGGAGAAGGAGAGAGAAACATCTATTGGTTGCCTCCCGCACGTGCCCAACCCAGGATGGAACCGGAAACCTGGGTAGGTGCCCTGACCTTCTGGTGCAAGGGATGCCACTGCAGCCAGGGAGCCAGCCTCACCGGCAGGGCCAGTCTATTTTAAAGCTCCACAGGTGATTGATCCACAGTGAGGTGGGAAATCATTGTTAGTGACTGGAAATACATGGGAAACCCATTTGCTGTGGAATACATGTCTAGTGGATGAGTGTTCATTGAAGCTCACTAGACAAGCACATCTTTAAAGAATAAACATAAGCTAGCTCATCTTAACAGTATGTCTTTTCACACCTTATTCCTTACAAGCATATTACACCGGCCTTTGTTATTGAATAGCAATAACTGGGTGATAATCCCAGCTCTAATATATGCATAACAGTTGATTCATTCCTTAGGATAAACTTTATAGCAGAGGAAATAAGGCTGAAGCAATCATTAATTTAACAGAAAGACCTGACCATCATGTGCCACGTTAAGAATGCTCAGAGATTCTACCATTGCAGGCTTTCTTCACTTCTCTCAATACAGAACTTAGCACCATGGATAGACCAAAGGAATTAAAATAAAGTGTTATAGCTATTTCATTCATTCCATAAAATTATAAGCCAAAACTATAAAAATGCAAAATAAAGCCCTTAGTTTAAAAAAGCTTTTGTAAAATGTACAGATATTAAACAAGGCTAAATAAAACTTAGAATTCTCAAATTGAACACATGCTCACATGATACTACATGTTCACTTGTGAGATTATTTAAACTCCTGGGAGACAGTGCCTCCATTTTTCATCTTTTCAGAAAGGAGGTGGGGGTAAGAGATCAACCAAAGGACGTGTATGCTTGCGTATGAGCATAACCCAGGGACACAGACACTAGGGGGTGGAGGGCATGTTCTGGGAGTAGGGGTGGATGTGGCCAGGGAGAGGTCAATGGGGGAAAAACGAAACTCATATAATCCTGTATGTAATGCTCTAAACCACATGTGTCAAACACAAGGCCCGCGGGCCAAATCCGTCCCGCCAGGCCTTGCAATGTGGCCCGCACCGCGCTGTCATCACTGCACTCCGCTGCGTTTCCATCACAATGACAGTTTATGACTGTTCAGTAAACCATTCGGCCCTCGATTTAGGCTGGATTTTAGATTTTGGCCCCTTCTCTGATTGAGTTCGACACCCCTACTCTAAACAATAAAGAACTAAAGAAAAAGGGTTAAAGTTGCCTAACATCATTTTAATAAACACACCCGCCAATTAAGCCATCAGCCTGGATGTGTGGAGGGGAAAGAACACACCTGCCTCAGAGCTGTAGCATCTCTCTCCCTGGACCAACCAAGATATTTCCCGAACTGCAGATTACTGTCATATTTAACCTAAAGTTAATCCAGGATAGAAAACCACCCACAAGTTTTGTTTTGTTTCCCCCCCAAAAAAAATAGTAATCAGCACTGTGTCACTAACATGTCAAGCACCACAGGCCGCGAGTGCCAGACCTCAGTCCCTCACCTGTAGAATGGACACAATACTCTCTCTGAAAGGTAGTAGAGTGGGAAACTTTTACAGTGCTTTTAAATGCTCAATAAACGACAATTACGCTGATAACTGAGAACAGCTGAGAAAGAAACTGGTCCTATTTATCCACTTGGAAGCTCAGTAAGAACATGCTCACGGCAGTAAAGCGGTGGTTTGCAAGCCCCTGCATCTGAGCAACCACCCTCCAGTGCTTTCAAACAGCCTTGCCCAGACCCATCTCAGAACCAACCATCAGTCTCTGGGAGTGGGACCCAAGCATCTGCATTTTTTTAAACTCCCCCAAGTGCTTCTAATGTGCAGCCAGGGGTGGGGTCTGATGTATTTTTCCCAATTACTAACATTAGACTCAATGTTAGAAGTAAGACAACTTAGCCCTAGCCCGTTTGGCGTAGTGGATGGAACATCCACCTCTCTGCCTGAAGGGTCCCGGGTTCGATTCTGTCCCAGGTTCGATTCTGGTCTTGGTTGCAGGCTTATGCCCGAGGCAACCAATCATCTCACATGGATGTTTCTCTCTCTGTCTCTCCCCATCCCTTCCAAAAAAAAAACCAATGGGGAAGATATCCTTGGGTGAGGATTAACTACAAGAGGACACCTTAGCCATAAATACAATGGCTTTTACAGCTCCTAAAACAACCAAATGGAAACTGAAATTTCAATTTTTGAGGAAAAACAAAATCAAGACTCAGAAAACATAACAGCAAAAGAGGAAATACAATGCAGGGTATTATACAGCATTACATTCCTTTAAAATTAAAAATCAACCAGCTCAACAACCACAGCCTTAGACACCACCCCCAGGCCGGTAACTGTCCAAAAAGCTAACCCTTTCACTACACCCCTACACATTTCAAACAACTGTCCCTAACGTGGTTTAAACAAAGACTGGTTTCAATATTAAAATTCTGAATCTGAAGTGTGAAAACTTGATTGGCTTTCAAACTGTCCTTACGAAATAATAAATGGCCTAAAAGAATGCTTCCTTGTCTCAAAAACTAACAAATGCAGGCTAAGTAAATTCAAGGAAAACATCCACCTTCAGGAAGTGCAGGGCCATCGTTAATACCACATCAAAGGGAAATTATCGCTGGAGAGAGCCAGGCAATCTCCCACCTGGTTGAGATGTGAGGAAATGTATTTCAAAATCCTGAAAGAAAAAAGATCCAAAGTAAATCCCACTTGAGCATTCCAGTGATAAAACAAGAGAGCTGCAGAACACCCAATAATTTGATGAAAGGTAAAATCTGCCTTCAAAGTTACTTTCTGAGGAATTTAGATTTCAAGAATGTCTAAATATTCTTGCTGTTATCTAATCCCTCCAGAAATTTTCCCTCAGAACACTACCAAGGTCAGCAAACAAAAGAACCTCAAGATAATTACGTGGAGAACTACAAGGTAAATGTTCACGCAATAAAAAAAAAATTTTTTTAAAGGAACGGGGAGCAAAAATCCGTGTAAGTTCAAATGTGTTATTTTTTTTTAACCAGAGAAAGCAAAACATATCAGACACATTTTGAGCTGCCCCTGGACACACGAATGGGAAATACTGCTGGTCTTCACCGCATCTGAGCCCAGGGAAAATAAAGCTTTGAGTTCAAGTTAGAAGACAACGTGCCAGCTTTAAAATTGAGGACAAACAGCGACACACTGGTGTGTGTGACACACGAATCTGGAAGCTCTTGGAGGGCGTTTGCAGAAAGCAAAATGGCAGCCCACTGAAACCAGCAGGCCAGGCAGGGCTGAAGGAGTCTGTGGGCCCTATTTTCACGAAGTTCAAGTGTGCAGGTTCCCAAAACCAGGCTGGTCATGGTTCCTCGGTCCTCGCCATGTCATCACCGGGCAGATAATGAGCTCCGAGAGAGGGTTAAGGGCCGGCCCCAAAGTTGCCTAATGGATGCACTCCGCATTTCCCCTCGAAAGTGAAGGTCTGCCGACGTCCCAGACTTCGGGGGCTCAAGGGTTTTCAGGTGAAGGAATGCTGGCGCCCGCTCCCCTCCCCCCAGGCCAAGCACGAGCCCCGGTCGTACATGGGACTCGCTTGGCTACATGCAAAGCCGGGGCAGCAATGCCACACACCTGTGCAAACCCAGCAGCGAAAAAGCCAATTAACGCCTCGACTGCGGGCTCTGCGAAAAGGAACCTGCGCCATTTGGAGCGAGTGGCCCGGGAGAGGCGAGGGCACCCCAGGGCGGGCTCCGGCCGCCGCAGAAAGGCGCCCCGACCTCCCCGAGCCGTATCCACCTGCTCCGGAGGCCGGCATTTCCCAATGAATGAAAACCCCACCGTCTCCGCCGCCCAGCCCCGCGCCGCCGGCACCGGGAGGCTTGTGCACTAACCCACGCGCACGGGCTGCTATTTTTGGCAGAAACGGTTAAGAACGGAGAGGCGGGGGGTCCGAGGGGGCTTTTCTGCACTCCAACCCCGTCCGCTGCGGCCCCGGGCCGGGCGGCGGCGCGATGACCGGGCTGCGGCCGGGGTCGCGGGAGGCTGCGGGCTTCGACGGGCGGGCGGGGGGAGGCGGCCGAGCCGCGGGGCCCGATCGCCCGACGCCGCCGAGGCCTAGCGCCCCGGCTCCAAATCACTCCACCTCAGTAATGGCGTTCGGTGTCAAGTGGAACAAGAACGGGGAGGAGGGCGAGCCGTCCGTGCGGCCGGTGGCAGCCCCGGGCCCGGGGGCCCCGCAGCCCCCCGACGCCGCGCCGGCCCCCGGGGTGCGGATGCGGAGGCTGCCCGCGGGGCACGGAGACTCCATCCTCCCACTCGGCCCCAGACAGGACGGGAAGGGGGAGGAGGGGGGAGGGACGGAGCCGTCAGCCATTTTCCCTTCCAGCCCCAAACACACACACACGCGCTCCCGGGACGCCGGTCCGCGGGGAGCCCGGCCCCGTGCGCCCGCCCGGCCGGGGCCCGGGGTGGGGGCGGCGGGGAGCCCCCGGGCCGGCCGTCGAGGGGTGCGCGGCGCACACACACACCCTCGCCCTCCTCCCCGCGGCCAAGTCCTGCTGTTGCCCCGTGAAAGCGGCCCCCCCCCCGGCGAGGTGCCACTCACCGCACAACCCGGGCGTCTGGTCTTCGGCGGCAGCACACGCGGAGCCGGCAGCGCCACTCAGTCGCGGGGCAGCGCGGCCGCGGGCGCATCCCAGGCCCCCGGCGGGGGGGACGGGCGACAAAGTGTGTGGAGAGGCCGCGGCGACAGCTCGGGAGCCGGCCTCGGCGCTCGCAGCGCCCGCCCCGCAGCGGTGGCCGCTCCTCCTGCGCCGCCGCCGGCCTCTCGCCTTCCTCTCAGGCCGGGCTCTGCGCTCCGCTCCGACGGGCTCCGGGCGGTGCGTCCTCCTGCGTCACCTCCTCCCGCCGCGGCCGCCGCGCTCTCCCCGCTCGCCGTCCGCGGCCGCTGGCTGCGCTGCGGTCGCTAACTCGCCGCTCGCTCCCGGCGCCGAGCGAGCCGGGCGCTGAGGAGCCGCCGCCTCCCGGGAGGAGCGGCACTCGGGCTCCCGCGAGGCCTGCGAACTGAGAGCGGGAGGGGCTGAGCGGGGAGGCCCCGGCGCGCCGGCTGCACGGGGGCTGCAGCGCCGGCGGCGGCCACTACCTTCCGCAGCCGCGGCTGCCCGTCCTCGGCAATATGGCGGACCCAGCAAAGCAAAAAAAAAACACACAAAAAAAACCGCCCGGCCAGCGGCGGCGACGGCAGGGGCAGCGGCGGCAGCGCAGGCGGCGGCGGCGCAGACTCCCACCCGCTCCAGAGCCGCCCAAAGCCCGGCCCCGCCCCCCGCAGGGCCCGCCCCCCGCCTGGCCCCGCCCCCGGCCCGCGCCCGCCGCCCCCGCCCACCCTGGCGATCAGCTGTTCCTCCCACTCCCCGCGCTCGCGCACCTCCCTCCGCTCCGCCTCCGCCCGGAGCCTGGGAGACTGGCGCGCCGCCCCGAGAGCCCGGCTGCCAGACGCGGAGAACCCGGAAAGCTGGGGGAGGGGAGACAATGCGGGAAAGATTGTTCGCTCAGAGGCGCTCCTGCCGCCCCGCCCTCCGGGATCGCGCTGCTTCCCCTCGGTTCCCCCCCGGGGGACACTGTTACCCAGCCCCCGGCTCCCCGCGGAGCGGGCGCAGAGGTGGCAGGAGGTCGGGCGGGGGTGGGGGCAAGGAGGCCCGCGAGGACCCGGCGTACCACGCGGCAGGAGCTGGCGGATCGGGGTTGGCAGGCTGTGCGGACAGGACAGAGTTAATCGCGCGAGCCACAGCCGCGTCGCTCAGAGTTTGACTGGGGCCGCTTGTTTTTGTTCCATTGTGAACCGTGGCTCCGCCGGCGAGTGCCCGGATGATGACGTCACCGCCCCCCCAGTTCCGGAATCGTGGGGGGAGGGGCGGCGGAAAGGCTAGATCCGGAGACCACGCGCCGGGCGCTCGCACCCGCGATGCTTGGGGGACGGGGGGAACCGATTAATGGGGGGGGGGGGGTCCCTGCGGCGCACGGGGTCCAGGAGGCGGCCAGGCCCCCGAGGCGGGGACGCTGCCGGGCGGCACGGGTGCGCGAAGTCCCTGGCCACCTGCTCCACACCGATAGGAGGAAGGTGTGGCTATCTCCCCAGGCTGCAGGGGGGACTTGCCAGGGGGAGCCTCCCCAGCCCCCGAGAAGCAGGTGCTCCGAGCCGCTCAATCACTGGATCCTGCACCATCAGTACCTGAAAGCACTTAGGCTGCCTCCAGCCCCACACGGACCCACCACCCTCTGACCACAGAAGCCCTCAGCGCGGCAAGGGAGAACACTGGGAGTGGCACGGACAAATAAAGCACTAGGAATAGGTAGCCAGCCCAGCCTCTCTGGCCAAATCGTCAGCACCGTTCCGTGTTGGGACCCCGAAGGGTCTGCTGAACCCCGTGATACGTCAGTCTATTGTCCATGCTGATATTCCAGGCCCTGGAAGGCTGTGTGACGTAGCCAAGGTTGTGGTTTCATCCCCGGTCAGGGCACATACAAGAATCAACCAAAGAACACACAAATGGAACTAGCCAATCTCTCTTGCTCGCCCTCTCTCTCTAAAAAAATCACTTAAAAAAAAAAAAAAAAGCCTGCTATGTTGACATTCCAAAGCGGAGGTTATCAGTTGATTTAAGATGCATGGACTGCTAGGAACAAGTCTACACTGAGTGCCTTTGATGCCCGAATGCCATTCCTTTTGATGTTCCTGTACACACCAAACTGGATACAAAAATCATAGCAAAACCCCATAAAACAAATCGTTAAATTTTGTATAGGACTGAGCTGGACTTACGTTACACCTATGTTAATTTGTAATAAAGGGTCAGAATCCAAACTAATTTAGGGTGACAGTGACAGCACAACAATACTAGCAACCTGAATTTTTCAACCATTTGTTTAGCACAGCCGGTGTGGCTCGGCAGTTGAGCATCGACCTATGAAGCAGGTTCACTTCCCCGTCAGGGCATGTGCCGGATTGCAGGCTCCATCCCCCATGGGGGGCGTGCAGGAGGCAGGCGATCAATGATTCTCTCTCATCATAAATGTTTCTCTCTCCCCCCTCCCTTCCTCTCTGAAATCAATAAAAATATATTTTTAAAACGTTTATACAGTATTAGACTATAGTTCCCACCACAAAATTTATCTAATAAGTTGTCCAAGACAGGAACTCCATAGCCCTAGTCATCCATAGCATATTTTACCTTGCTTTTAAACTTACTTCCATGAGTGGCTTGTCCACTAGCTTATGAGTTCCTAAAAAGCAGGCACTACCACCCATGCACACTGCACGTTTGCTAAATGCCTGGTTATCCTGTTTAACCCTCAGAACCCTGGGAGCAGCCGGTACATACACTGCTACCACTGGTATGGTAAGTGTTGAACACAATCCTTTAAAAAAATGCAAGGATGTCTGCTCTCAATCCCATTGTATCTGGTTGGGACAATGAAAAAGTTCTGGAAATGGAAAGTAGTGATGGTTGCCTAACATCTTGAATGGACTTAAAGGGAACGAATTTTTAAAAAAATATATTTTATTGATTTTTTACAGAGAGGAAGAGAGAGGGATAGAGAGTTAGAAACATCAATCAGCTGCCTCCTGCACACCCCCCCCCACTGGGGATGTGCCCGCAACCAAGGTACATGCCCTTGGGAACGGAATCGAACCCGGGACACTTCAGTCCATAGACCGATGCTCTATTCACTAAGCAACACCGGTTTCGGCGGAAACGAATTTTTAAAACGGTTAAAGTGGGTCCTGGCTGGGTGGCTCAGTTGGAGTGCTGTTTCATACACAAAGGGTTGCAGGTTCAGCCCTGACCAGTTTGGCTCAGTGGATAGAGCGTCGGCCTGCGGACTGAAGGGTCCCTGGTTCGATTCCGGTCAAGGGCATGTACCTTGGTTGCGGGCACATCCCCAGTGGGGGGGGGGGGTGCAGGAGGAGGTGATAGATGTTTCTCTCTCATCCATGTTTCTAACTCTCTCCCTCCCTTCCTCTCTGTAAAAAAATCAATAAAATATATATATTTTAAAAGTCTTTTTTTTGTTTGTTAATTTTGTTTAAAAAAAGAGTTGCAGGTTCAATTCCTGGTCAGTCCCTGATCGGGACACATATGGGGGGCAAGGAGTTGATGTTCCCCACATCAGTGTTTCTCTTCCTTTGTCTCTAAACTCAATTTTTCAAAGAACATATCCTCAGGCGAGGACTTAAAAAATGGTTAAAATGGTAAATTTTGTTCTAGATGTTTTACCTCGATTTTTTAAAAAGTGGGGGAAATTCCAATTCATATGGTTTAGTCCCTAAAGGACACTCCCACCAGCAGTTCTAGAGGGACCTAGTTTATCAGGGCAAGCTCACCAGCAAGCCAGTCCTCTCTATGCGTTCAAGCTGCCCACTTCTGACACCTCCCCCAGCTGATGGGATGGGAAGCGAACAGCTGAGTTCAAAGAACAGGTTCAATGCCACAGCGCAGCTCCTGAAGTTCAAGTCCGCGGGGTCCAAGCATGCCTTGTTACCGCCTGTGTTTTGGTTTCTCTTTCCTAACACCTGTGCTTTAGTTTTAAAAGAGTTTTGTTTTGTTTTTAACTTCCTGGTCCTGCCTCAGGAGGGGAAAGCCTTATTATGTTACATTTCCTCATAGAATTTCCCATTGCCCTCACTCCCGACCCCGAAATGCTAAGTATGACCTCTGTGTACCGGGACCTTATCTTAAAGAATATGCAGGATTTCCCGGGCAAGCTGGCAGGATTGAACACGGTCAGGGCTATGAATGTCAAAGTTCTTCAAACAAGACCGTGAATGCCCACAAGGGGGGAAGGGCTTTCCCTGCCCGTGGAACTGAGTTCTGGGTTCGAGGCTAAGCGAATACAAAAGGGGAGGCAGCTTTCACACTCCGGCCCCCGGAGAAGGCTTGGTGATTCGGATGGAACGAGGGAAGTCCACAATCTTCGGAATTCTGACCATAAATACACGTTAACCGAGAATCTACGGAAACGGCCCATGGCACCCTCCTCCGTGGCGGCAGAGAGGACGCAGCTGAGAACACAGGGAGGACGGAGTGCAGCAGGAAGGTCATAGCGGGTCCACGCTGTGCTCACAGATGACCAATGGCACATGGGCCCCAGCGCCCGGACAGACAGGCTGACAGGCATAGCCCACCTGCCCGGGAGCCCCCCAAACTGGCCTGCTCCCCACCACGAACTGGGAGGCAGCGTCCCTGGTACTGTTTCCTCCTTCCCCTGCAGGCTGTTTGGGTCCCGGGGCCTTTCTGTGAAACTGGAAGGTTCTTTACGGGTGTGTGTTCTGTATAAACCACCGCGGGGCAGAGGGAGCGGCGCCCACTGTTCTTACAGCTCAGTCCTGCTTCCAGGCCGGAGGGCCACGTTTTCCTGGTAGGAGACTAAGGCCCGCTTCCTGAGAAGCCAGCACCTTCCCTCCCCGGCTTCTTCCCTCCCGGCTTCTTCCCTCCCGTCCCAGCACCTTCCCCTCCCAGCTCTTTCCCTCCCCTCCCTGCACCTTCCCTGCCCTCCCCAGGCCCTCCCCTCTCAGCACCTTCCCTCCTGGCTTCTTCCCTCCCATCCCAAGCCCTTCCCTCCTGTCCCAGGCCCTTCCCCTCCCCAGCACCTTCCCCTCCCAGCACCTTCCCTCCCTCCCCAGGCCCTTCCCCGCCCAGCACCTTCCCCTCCCCAGCTTCTTCCCTCCATCCCAGCACCTTCCCCTCCCCAGCTTCTTCCCTCCATCCCAGCACCTTCCCCTCCCAGCACGTTCCCTCCCCTCCGCAGCGCACCTTCCCTCCCTCCCCGCACCCCCCCCTCCGCAGTGGCCCAGGTGGCGTGCCTCAGTAGGACTCAGGGCCCCTCATTAGCCTCAGCTCGGCCCTAGCCTGCCTCTCATCAACTCAGAGCTCCTTCCCAGCAGGCAGCTCAGCTCTGTGTCCAGAAGATTCCCAGTTTCCCAGGCCTCACCGGCTAACACGTGAGCCTCCTGATTTCCGTGCGGCCCGCAGGGCCAGCCTTTCACAGGCAGAGCCGCCCCGTCCCCGGGCGCCCACTGGCCACTGACTGAGCCAGCGGCCTTCCCGCTGCATCCTCTCAGCTCCATCCTCTCAGCTCCATCTTGCTTCCTGCCTCATCACACACCTCCATCCTCTCGGGCAGCCTGGAGAGCTTGTAAAAAGGCCACATTTCAAC